TATCGACACAAGTATCGCACCTTGAGGATAGCGCGGGAGAAGTATGGAGACGGCTTTTGCACTTTTGACCGGCACGCTACATACTGCGGTTGCAGGAAACCACCACCTGTACCTAATTCTATGAGCCTGAATCCTGAAAAATCCTTACAATTCAAGTGGCTCACTATTTGTACCATTTTTCAGCTTTACAAAACCTTGCAAGCCTCACCAAATTGAGACCTGTTAGCTGATAAGTACTAAAGGGAGGGGAAATAGCGAATCTGCAAAATAACGGTGCTTCTCGCACGCCACCCCTGAGCCCAGCAGCACCGTACATGTGTAATCATACTGGCAATTCACCTACCTTCCAAGCAGCTCGTATGCATCGGGGAAATTCATTCGGAAAAACGATTCGACGTCCTTAGGATTGGACATTTTCGCTTCGAATTCGGAAAATGGAGCGAATATTGTCACTGGAAAGGTGACTGATCACAAAGAGTCGTTATACATACTACAGAAAAAACAAAACTACAAAACTACAAAATACAAACTCCGATTCCCTCAAACATTCATCTTTCAGCATGTTTTGCATCTAACCGGCCTGAGAATGTCGACACCTAACCTAGCGCTAGGTCATTGAAAGCCTCATGATAGCCATTCGCTGCGCTTTCTTGTTACCGTACATGTTTGGTCTGGACCACCTGCACTACCTCGAATGAAGGTCCACACCGCATTGTTTGTCATACCTGTGAATGTTTTGTCACGATTTGCCAAAGCTATAAGCGTGAGATGTCCTCGAGGCCATATATGGAACACATTCGGCTCAAGCGCATACTGAAATCTCGAGAAGTACTGACTAGAAGTCCGCAAACTCAATCACCCCAATAAAAGTGTGCAAATTTCCGTACCTCTCCATTTTTTGGCAGGATGTTCAATTCAATATAGCCATGTCCAATGTACTCCTGTGAGTAGTCGAACCTAAACTTTCAATATTGAAGAATGGAAGGGAATGCGTATGTAGTAATTTCCCATAAATTCAAAGAAAGCTAATCGAGGGACATACTGCACCGGTGATAATAAGAAGGGGAGCTAATTCTGAAACGGGAGTTACTTACAACTGAAATTACGATGTTTGCAAAGAAAAACTGTTGATATGAAAAATGCGCTCTTTCTCTAAGGAAGTCATCTTTTAAATTCCTGATAACACAGCGGGCAATAGTACGAACGGTAGTATGATAAAAAGAAGATAAAGTACAAGTCTTCGCCGTCGATCAATCCCTTTGTGGGATGCGGCACGCATTCTACTTCCATTCAGAATCGTAGTGGCTTATTGAATGCGATGTGGCCTATACAATGACTTGCGGGGCCAGCCGATGTACAAGTCAGTGTTCTTATCCTCCCAGACGAATCTGGTACCAATTTACCGTCCCCGGAGGGTAGAAGGCTTGGTTGGCCTGGGCGGGAGTCGACCCGGGATTTGAACCCAGGACCTGCGAGTGGTAAGTGCGCCGCTCGCCTTACACCACCGCCGCCTCAACACGATCAGTATAATACAACTCGGAATGATATCAGTTTCATTTTGCTCCTTTCCGACAAATGCGGCTGCATCATTGCAATCGCGCACTCCTAGATGTCCTATTGAGCTCACCCCATCCGGCCACTGCCTGTACGACCATTGGGTAGTTTCCTTTTGCTGTGGGCGGGCAGTTGTCGCCAGCGTCATTGGTGGAAGGAGTGGGAGGTGTGACCAAACGCCCTACCGCAGCGCAACCCTTCCATCAATAACGCTGACAACAACCGCCCCGCCTCCAACCGTCGTGTCCACTGCCTCTGAATCGCCGCACCACTCCCCTTCCGCAGTAGGTAATGATGTTATCATATGCTGAAGTGGCTTAGTATAGCTTTGTGCTGCCTACATACTCTAATTGGGAGGGCCGATGACGGCCTAAACGTCGAAAAGTCATCAATGAAGATAACCGATGCGAGAACAATTGATTTCTAACACATTGAGAACGGAGGCTCTTTCTTCGCAGGATTTTGACCGTTTCACTCCGTTCTTTCGCCATTTCCCCACTATATAGCGCCCTACTAGCATTTTAGGCCGAGCACCAAATCATCGTGCCAACTGCCTTTGAAGTTCCTATTCTGTACATTCGAACGAAGCTCAGACATAGCGGCATTTTATTGCGCAATTTCATGTCAGAGAAAGGAGATTACTCATGGTCCAACCAAGCATTGCGCTACGTCGCATGCGGGTGAGGGTTAGCACTATACTAGGAACTGTATTTCACGCTCCATGACCATGCAGCTAACCTTCCGTTCATCCTCTTGAAGCAAACGTCAACGGCACTTACATTGGCTGAGTAGCGAGACTTCGTCTCACAGCTGAGTACGCTCCGTCGCAAGCTACAACTAGATCGGCTTTAACGACAACATCGGTTCCTTTCACGCTGAAAATATTTCAGTTTTCATTTAAGCTTTTTGATTTCTTAACTTATCTTCTCACCTGCTCCCAGACTGTCCCGGCTTAGGTATTTTTGATCCACCAGTGCTAAAAAAACGTATATTTTCCATCATGCAAAAGGTGACTTTATGCATCAACACCCAGCTCTGTTCGCGTTTGGTTGGGTTAGCAGCGCATAATCACTGCGCTCTGACGTCCCTCACACGTAGGCTATCCGAATTAGCGCTTTGTGGCGTGTCAGAGCAGCCAAAATAAATGTGTTTGGGAGATGGGACACGCGCTACTATAGTACCTAATGTCTTGATATGTCATTATTTCTCCAAGCTTTCCATAGTTTTGGGATGTCATATACGTCACATTTCCACATGCAATCTGGATCTAGCGCAAATCAGGTCGGAAAGAACATCTCGGTGAGAGAGCGCAGGCAAGCGGGCATGACGCGGCATGGTCGATCCTTACATTAGCCACGTTTGCCCAGACTTCTGAAAACAGAACTCAATGGGTGGTTGATGTGTTTGATTATCTTTCTTTTTTATTGAAAAAAAGATGAAAGTCTCACAAGGTTGCATGCAATTCCTTTTTGTCTAGGTCGACACCTCGCACCTTGTGTTCGAAAAAGAATCTGAAATTAACCTATTCAAAGGAATACAATAAAAGGTTTGGGTGATATTTTGCTCTCAAGACTGAAAGCTGCTTGTATTCAACAACTTGCGGGAAACATCTTGGGTGTTTTCCTCTCAAAAATTCATATTGTGACTGATACACATATGTAACATCGAACAGACAACAAATTTTGAACGATTAACAGTTCTCTTACCGCACTTTCTCACTCTTCTCTGCTTGGGTTATCAGCACTTCGTTCAGGTGCCTGCGATTTATTGACACGATGTGCTGGAAAAGGAATATCATGATGAACACTGTATTCTTTGAATAGAAGAAGGCAAGGCAGCCCACGAAGTGGGAGACTTCTTGAAAACAAAACGAATGTTGAAGAAGTAAGGGGCACTATAACCTTGGAGGGACAGTTACTCGACTCCTTGTGGTGCAAAACTGCGACATCCGACTAGAATTGAAATCAGTTTACTGTTCCTTGAGCTTTCTCTCCCCCGTGAAGCATAGGCAAATCTTTTTTCTTCATGAACGTGACTCTAGTTTTAAACTAGGAGCCTTTTGTTGCTCCCGTCAAGGTTATTACCGTCGTACGAGGGATAGGTCCTCCTTACCTCTCCAGGCTGTCCGTACGGTTGACGACTGAACGTTTTCCCGTCGATGTTGTGGATCAGTCGGGAGTACAGAGCCACACCTGAATGATTGGAAAGATACGAGCATGTGGTTTGAGATCCAGATTGTTTTTTGTGTTCTTGGCTATGAAATATTTGAGCAAAATCATTGACAAGAGACGGGACGTTAACACTGTTGGATGCGCACATGCAGGTCATTGGAACCTTGAGACGCAAAACCGCTTGGAAATCTAAAATGTGACTTCAACAGGACTCACAAGCCCTTTGGCGTTCGCTACAATTGCCCTGCATACTTCATATTCAATAAAACTAGAGGAGGTGGTGTAGTACCAAATGACACGCTTACCACACGCACGGTTCCGGGCTCAGACCAGCTATCGACTCCCTCCCAGACTAGCCAACCCCTCTACCCTCCTGGGACGGTAAATCGGCACCAGATTCGTCTGAGAGGACAAGAACATTGACTTGCGCATCGTTTGGTTCCACAAGTTTGTGCGCCGCATCCCAAGAAGTATTGATCAACGGCGAAGACATTATCCTTTTATCCAAAAAAAGCTCAGCCGTCTGCTTACTAAAGGTTCAAAGTATTCATCTGTAGAAGTGGGACGAATTTTAAAAGCTCCGAAAAGGATGTCACACGCTCTGTTGTATCGGGTAAAATGCAGTATGTAAAGATTTTGAGCATCAGCTGCCAGAACATACTTTCGTACACTCTGAATGAACAACAGAATTTCCCTACCAAATGCTGAGCGCTTAATTTAGCTCTCGACGCTTGTAATGACTACTCGTTGTATCGTTGTTTCAAACTTCCCGTAATCCCAGCGGACGGAACAACTTTTTGCTTCACCACCCTATTATGTGAAGTGGCTCAACTAGGGTTCTGCTACTCCTTGAGATGAATGTAGCTGCAAATTACCTTGGTCAACAATGTAGTCTTTCAATCCGACTGCTTCCAGTGCAGATTTTCCTCTTTGCGACAGTGCTAAGTTAATACTGCGGCCTGGCACATGCTCCATCGTTCTGATATCTAAAATGAATGGATTGTTAGAATGATGGAGCTATCACTGACGATTATTAGCATTTTTGGCAGCTAGAAAAGCATATAGTATAACACTGGCTCCTTCCTAAAAATAAGCACTCCTTTCTCTAGAAATCCATGAGCAAAACTTTGGCCATCTACACTCCTGTTCCCTGAGACGCAGTAGGCGTGGCATTTGAACATGGCACAGGATGGGTCGTGGGTGCTTCAATTTGAGACACCTGTCACCTTGTTCTGTGTTGAGAAAAGACATGATTGCAACAGTACCAAAGAGAAAATACTTCACGAAAATTTTGGCCGCCGCCACGTTCTTCAAGTACACAACAACGCCTACTGCATCTCAAGAATTATGGGGGTGCAGACCCTGGAAGTTTTACAGAATTAGTCCATTATTTCTCTGTTTGAACATTTGAGTTTCGATTGGCAGACCTCTAGATGCCAGTAATGGTATAATAGGTAATAATATTAATAAGTAATAGTATATGCCATTTTCACCTTAAATTCTCCACTCTTCAAAGCAAATTCACCACTTTCCAAACCAAAT